AAATAAAGAGTAACAGACCCCCGTATGGTGAATTTTTTTTTGTTTTTCAGACAACTCATAATGAAGTACCAGGTAACAACACCTGCAATACAACATGGTCCTCGAATTCATCACAATATACCCAAGCGTTTGAGGAGAGAAGGTGATCATTTCATAATACAACTTCCTTCAACTCAAAGAAATTTTCTCAGAAGAGATGCATTGTCTGTGCACAAACAAAACGACGGCAAACAAAGACGCAAAGACACTCGTTTTATGTGTGAGGAATGTAAGGTGCCTCTGTGCATGGGCCTTGTTTCAAGGAGTTCCACAAGCTCCAGCAGTTCTAAAACCATGTCCAGTGATTGTAAATATGTAAATATATGATAGAACATTAGTATTATACAATATTTGTGCATGTTTATTGTAATAAACAACAGTGGTAAACAATAATATGATAATAACTTTAGTGCGGTTATTGTGTTCAATACAGTGAGTATATATATATCAATTATATACAGTATTGGTCTCTCAGGCCCCAAATGTTAGTAGGAATAGAAAAAAATTGGAAAAGAAAAGAAAAAACAACTAAAACAACAAAATAATATAATACGCGTATGTGGAATTCGTCGATGTTGCCGCCACCACATCATTTTCTATAAACTTCTTGTCACTGTATCTCGGTAAGTAATGATCAGATTCTAATTTTTTTTGTTTTATTACCTTCACAAAAATATGCTCTTTAATTCTGTAAGAAAAAATAATATTTTTTTTTTTTTCAAAATTTCTTGGACACTGGTGCGTGACTTCAGATTTTGGCCTTGGACCCTGAAAGGGTTAATATGTTTATGAATATGGAAGTATTTAGCAGTGCCTACTTTATTATAATGTTTTATGAAAGCAGTGCCTATTTTACCATATTACTTTATGAAAAAGCAGTGTCTGCCTTACTATAATATGTAAGTGAAATAGCAGTGCTTGCTTTATATAATATGTAAGTGAAATAGCAATGCCTGCTTTATATAATATGTAAGTGAAATAGCAGTCCCTGCCTTATATCATATGTAAGTGAAATAGTTAGCAGTGCCTGCTTTACTATAATATATTAGTGAAATAGCAGTGCCTGATTTTCTATAATGCTACATGTAAGTGAAGTAACTAGCAGTATCTGCTTTATAGTTTCAGTATTAAATATTTGTCTTCCACAGGGAGAAAAAGGCTACCCAGGGCCCAAAGGAGACAAAGGCCCCATGGGCTTATCATTTATAGGTGAGCCAGGACCAAAAGGCCTAAAGGGAGCAAAGGGTGATGACAGAAATTGCTCCGACACACAACTTATCACCAACTGCACAGTTACAACTGTGCTCCCAGTGAGTTCACTTATATAAAGTTATGCTCAAATGTACATGTTACAGAGAATGTGTATTGAATATATCTTATTCTAGGTAGCATATCAAGAGTTATTTTTTCTTTTAGTTCTTAGCATGTAGAACTTCTTCCCATTATCCTGACTGGCTCATAGCTTTTTTTCTGTCATGCACCATTTGCTGTGAATTTTTCTGTGTACCAATTTGTACTCGGTTTATTTACCATATAGTGTGATAGTCATTTACTTTTTTACATTCAGTATTCCAGCATTAACAAACCCACATAAATACAATAAAACAGTGGATAAAATGAGCCCTGTATATTTTGGTCTCACAATAAGGCTCTCTTTAATACCTGGAAGGTGTTCCAGGGGTCAGTGCCCCTGTGGCCCGGTCCATGACCAGGCCTCATGGCAGAAATATACAGTACTCATTAATTTTTTTGTCTCCATGTGTTTGTCTTTGCCATTGACCAGTGTCTATTATACCTTTTTGTTTTATACTGTGCTCTAATTAACTCAGTACTCTATAGATTTTCATAGTGACACTATTCGTGCTTTTGTGGACACTTCAGTGGTCTTATTACTTGATAAATATTTACACAGGGTGTGTCCAGAAAGTTCTGAGTCCACATATCCTCATATTGTATGACTACCATGGGTTACTCAAATGAAAAACATTATTAGAATATGTGTATCTCACACTCTGAGTGTGTGTGGTTCAAAATCCTTGGCTAAATAGAAACATTGGGCATGTTTCCTTACACCTGCTATCCCTGTTCACCTAGCAGTAGGTAGGTACCTAGGTGTTAGTCAATGGGTGTGGGGGTCACATCCTGGGGGGACAAGATTGAAGGACCCCAATGGAAATAAGACAGACAGTCCTCAATAATGCACTGACTTTCTTAGGTTATCCTGGGTGGCTAACCATCTAGGTTAAAAATCTGAACAAATCTTATCTTACCTTATCTTTACCTTTTCTCTCACCTAAGCTCCTCGGAGGGATGTAGTTGCATATTGCGGTCATTCTGTCAGTAACACATTTCAAAATGAAGATTAGGTGCACCAGGAATGTGTTTCAAAAAATTAAAAGTTCAGTCAGACTTCTACCACAATGGCCTTCTTTTTTTTAGACAGTGCAAAACAGTTGCATAGGAAAATTCTGGTTGGCTGCTTGGCCATGAAGAGCAAATTTCCTGTATTAGACCCCTTAGTATGAAATGTACCATAAATTACAGGAATAGCTGCACTCTCCCATAACAATATTTGAAGAGAGAGAAAACCCCTTTCTTCATTACTCCATCACTGCATGCATCAAGCAACACTTCCATTATGAATAATATCTCACACTAACTTTATTACACTTATGATTTTGCCCAGTACAGCAGTTTTCTTCATATAATAAATAGTTTGATTTATCAATCCACATTTAACGTACCTCGTAACTAAATTGCAGAATAGATTTTCAATAGTGTGGAACCTCAGTTTTCGTATGCCCTAGTTTGTATATAAAACTATAGTTATTCTCTATAAAACGTATTTTTTTTTAATATTTTTGGGTGTCTGGAACAGATATATTTGATCCATTCCAGGTACCCAAAAATATTAAAAAAAAATACATTTTATAGAGAATAACTAGTTTTATATACAAACTAGGGCATACGAAAACCGAGGTTCCACTGTAGTGATTTTTAATGAATTTTCATATAGTAAATGTAGGTGAAGAAGATTTTTGACTTTGAATCTTTATTCATTTATTATAATATTAAGATATACTGTATTAATATAAAAACTCTTCACAGGGTATGAAAGGTGATCGAGGTAGGATAGGTGAACCAGGACTAAAGGGTGAGAAGGGTGATCGTGGCAGCATAGGCTACCCAGGTCCACATGGGCCCCAGGGAGAAAAGGGCCTTCCTGGTTTTCCAGGTCCACCAGTAAGTAATTGACTTCTTAACTTTTACATGTAAGCCTCATCTGTGTAAGCTAAAGGTCTTGCACAGTTCCAAAATTGTATGAGCTCAATGTGCAAAATTCTGAGTGATATTGTATGTGTAAATGCTGTATGCCATTTACAACAATTATTTATTTTATTTTTTTTATTATCACACTGGCCGATTCCCACCAAGGCAGGGTGGCCTGAAAAAGAAAAACTTTCACCCTCATTCACCCCATAAACTGTCTTGCCAAAAGGGTGTTTTTACACTACATTTTTTTTAAACTGCAACATTAACACCCCTCCTTCAGAGTGCGGCACTGTATTCCCCATCCCCAGGACCAAGCCCGCCTGCGGTTTCCCTCCCCCCTTCATAAATTTACTTTGCTCCATAAAAAGACGAAAGTTTTAAAAACCATTTGTCTCCTTTCACTCCTATCAAACACGCTCACGCATACCGGGAAGCCCAAGCCCCTCGCACACAAAACCCCCTTTACCCCCTCTCTCCAACCCTTTCCTAGGCCGACCCCTCCCCCGTTTCCCTTTTCCATTACAGACTGATACATCTTGAAGTCACTCTTTTTTCGCCATTCTTTACAGCCCGAACCACCTCAAAAACCTTCCTCATCCCTCGGAAAACAGTTTTGGTAATCCCGCCCCCCTCCTAATTCCCAAACTACGAATTTCTCTTCATTGTTTTCAACACCATTCCCCTCAGACATGACATCTCCACTGCCTCCAGCCTTCCCCTGCTGCAACATTCTTCCCCCATGCTTCACACCCATATAAGAGCTTTGCAAAAAACTATACCCCATACATTCCCTCTTTCCCTCCAAGGAAAAAGTTCTTTGCTCCACAGACCCCTAATGCCACCCCCCTTTTTCCCCCTCATTAATTTTTATTACCCATTTTTCTAGACCCTCGCTGACACGTCCACCCCCAAATATTGAAAAATTTCACCTCCTCCATCCTTCCTCCAATCTGATATCCAATCTTTCTCCTATTTTTTTGTTATCCTCAAAAAACCTTCCCTTTTTCCCGTATTCACTTTTAATTTTTTTCGGGGGGCCACCGTCCCCAAATTCATCCCCCAATTCTGCAAGTTCTCTCAGAATTCCAAGGACATGCATCAGAAAAGAGAACTGTGACAACTCCCATTTATGTGTGATTCTTTTCTTTTAATCCACACCTTTCCCAAACCCTCGCATTTATTCTCTTACAACCCATCTATAAATATTAAACAACCCGGGGCATCACCATCCTTGTCTAAGGGCCCACTTTTATGGGAAATAATTTCCCTCTTTCCCCAAACTCTAACTTGGCCTCACTCCCCCCCCCCCCCCAAAAAAACTCTCACTGCTTTTAGTCCTACCTCCTACAGCCCCTGCAACATCTGCCACATTTCCCCCCTATCCACCCTGTCATACTTTTTTTTTTTTTTTTTTTTTAAAAAGCGGGCCCTCTCCCACCGGGCAGGGGGACCCAAAAAAGAAAAAAAACCCCAAAAAAAAATCTTTCAATTTTTTAAAACTTTCACCACATGCACATTATCCTGTTTTTTTCAGAAGGCTCAGAATACAAAAGTTTGAAGTCACTATAAAAGATACACAACATTCCCTCCAAAATGCCCAAACCCAAACCCCTCCTTTAAAAAAGCAGGCTTGTACTTCCCATTTCCAGGGCTCAGTCCCACTATATGAAAATAACCGGTTTCCCCGAATCCCCTTACTAAAAAATTTTCCCTGCTCAACTCCTAATGCCAAAAAACCCCTTTGCCTTTCTAAATCTGTTCACTTATTGTTCACTGTAAACATGGTCCAACACCCCCTACCTTTTCCCAAAGCCTCCCTTTTTCATCTGTATCCTTTTCCCTCTTTCTTTAATTCTTTTAATTAAACTCTACCCTACCTTTACCAGGATACTCAACAGACTTATCCCCTTAATTTTTGCACTTTTTTTTGTCCCCTTTGCCTTTTACAAAGGAACATCATCTCTTTCCTCCCTAGGGACCTTACCCTCTTCCATACTTTATTTAAAAAAATTGCACCAAAAACTCCCAAAAATATATCCCCCCCCGCTTTTTTAAAATTTTATCTTTTTCCCCTCAATCCGGCTGCCTTACCCCCTTTCATTTTACCCATGCCCCACGGCTTCCCCCCCCACTCACAAAAGGCTCTTCCTCACCCTTTCAAATGTTTTCCTCCCTTTCCCCCTTCCGAATCCAGCTTCCCCCTTTTTAACATTTAAAAATTTCCCCAAATATAGGTATTAGGTAATGGCGGAATTTTTGAGGAAAATTTTAAATGTTGAGGAAAAAGGGAGGTGGTAATTTCATGCATGGGCCCGGGGGGTAACCTTTTTAGGAGTGAAGAAGAGCAGGGAAAGTAAGTTTTGGTGGAGGTACGTGAGGGGATTCGTAGAATGAAAGGGGGTTTTAAACAGTGGAACTGATGGGGTCTGACAAAAAGTTAAAAGCGAGGGGGATATAGTGTTGGGTGGTTGGGACTTTTGTTTAATAAATGTATGAAAGAGGGGAAGGTACCTAGGGATTGGCAGAGAGCATGTATAATCCCTTTATATAAAGGGAAAGGGGACAAAGGATTGTAAAAATTATAGAGGAATAAGTTTACTGAGTATACCAGGAAAAATATACTGTAGGGTTATAAGTGAAAGAATTTGAGGTAAGACAGAATGTAGGATTGCAGATGAGCGGGGAGGCTTCAGAGTGGGTAGGGAGTGTAGATCAAGTGTTTACATTGAAGCATATATGTGAACATTTATTTAGATAAAGGTAGGGAAGTTTTTATTGCTTTTATGGATTTAGAAAAGGCATATGACAGAGTGGATAGAGGAGCAATGTTTGGGAGATGTTGCAAGTATATGGAATAGGTGGTAAGTTACTAAATGCTGTAAGAGCTTTTATGAGGATAGTTTAGGCCAGGTTAGGGTGTGTAGAAGAAGGGAGAATACTTCCCGGTAAAAGTAGGTCTTAGAAGGGATGTGTAATGTCACCATGGTTGTTTAATATATTTATAGATGGAGTTGTAAAAGAAGTAAATGCTAGGGTGTTTTGGGAGAGGGGTGGGATTAAATTATGGGGAATCAAATTAAAAAGGGAAAATTTGACCAGTTTTTTTTTCTGATATTGTTTATGGGAATTCTAAAGAAAATTGAAAAGGTTAGGGGAAATTTGAGTTTGAAAAAAGTTTTTAAAATAGAAAGTTAAAGTGCATAAAAAAGATAATGGGGGGGTAAAAAAATTTTGATAAAAAAATTGGAAAAAATTGGGAGGAAGTTAAAAAGGAATTTTTTTAATACTTCGGGGGATTTGGGTGGTATTTAGAAGGATGGGGGAAATAGTTGAGTGGGGAAAAAAAAATTTTTGAGAAAGGGAATAAAAACTTTTTAAGGGGCAAAAAGGGAAGTTAAAATTTGTGTAAACACCAAGAGGAAGCGGTGGAAATGGCAGGGAGAGGTTGAAGGGGAATGTTTTTTGGGAATTTGGGGAAAATTGAGAAAATTGGAGTGGGAAAATTAAAGAATGTGGAGAAAAAAGTTGGGGGGGCAGGGGGGTTTTGTTGGGTGGGGGCTTTTGAAGAATATAAATAAAAAAGGGGGAAAGTATTCAAGGGGGGAAGGGGGGGTAGGGGTTTCCCGAGGGGTTAAAAAGGGGAAAGGATTTTTGTGGGGGGTTGGTTGGGGGGGGGGGGGTTGTGGGGGGGGAAAAAAAATATACTTGGGACCTGTGATTTTTTTAGTGTGAGCGGATAAATTTAGTGAAGGGACAGGGAAACGGTTTTTTTCATTGTCGGACTTTCTTGGAAAGGAAGTAAAATCCCTTTCACTTTAAACGGGGGTTTGGGTTTGGCAGTATGGGGGGTATGTTGTGATCTTTTCGTTATGCTTCTAAACTGTTGTATTTTGACACCCCGCAAAAACGTGATATTGTGTGGTGTGGTAAATTTTTGATGAGAGAAAGTATTTTCTTTTTGGGGGTTTTTTTTTTTGGTCACCCTCCCCGGTGGGGGATGGCCCATTTTGAAAAAAAAAAAAATCCCCTTTGTTTTCTGGGTTCCCCTTTAAATGTTAATCTCACTCCCAAAATTTTTTTATTTTCAAAAAAAAATTTGTTTTATAAAAATCCACTCCTCTTCATTTTCTCTTTTTACAGTGTTTACCACTCTTTACCTCTCTCTTTTTCTCCCTTACTTTCCCCCCTTGATCCTTTACTTTGTAAAAACTTTCATATGCTAAATTTGAAAAATTCTCAAAAGTAATTTTTCCCCTTACTACTCTCTTTAATCTCATTCCACCAATCATCCTTTCCCTCCCCACCCATTTCCTGTAACCACAACTTTGCTGAACACTCTAACACTACATTTTTAAATCTACCCCTTACCTCTTCAACCCCATTTCTATGCTCTCTATTACCCCATCTATCTTCCAATAGCTGTTATATTTTAAACCCTAACTGCCCCCTCTTTTAGTTTATAAACCTTCACCTCTCTCTTCCCTGATGCTTCTATTCTCCTTGTATCCCACTACCTTTTACTCTCAGTGTAGCTACAACTAGAAAGTGATCTGATTATTTCTGTGGCCCCTCTTAAACATGTACATCCTAAAGTCTACTCAACGTCTTTTTTTACAATACAAAATCCAACAAACTACTGTCAATTTCACCCTACATCATATCTTGTATACTTATTTATCCTCTTTTTCTTAAATATGTATTACCTATAACTAAACCCCTTTCTATACAAAGTTCAATCAAAGGGCTCCCATTATCATTTACACCGGCACCCCAAACTTACCTACCACCCCCTCTCTAAAAGTTTCTCCTACTTTAACATTCAGGTCCCCTACCATAATTACTCTCTCACTTGGTTCAAAGGCTCCTATACATTCACTTAACATCTCCCAAAATCTCTCTCTCTCCTCTACATTCCTCTCTTCTCCAGGTGCATACACGCTTATTATGACCCACTTTTCGCATCCAACCTTTACTTTAATCCACATAATTCTTGAATTTACACATTCATATTTCTTTTTCCTTCCATAACTGATCCTTCAACTTACTGCTACCCCTTCTTTGCTCTAACTCTCTCAGATACTCCAGATTTAATCCCTTTTTATTTCCCCCCATCGAAACTCCCCTACCCCCTTCAGCTTTGTTTTGCTTAGGGCCAGGACATCCAACTTCTTTTCATTATAACATCAGCAATCATCTGTTTCTTGTCATCCGCACTACATCCACACACATTCAAGCCTCCAGTTTTATAAAGTTTTTCTTCTCTTTTTTAGTAAATGTTACAGGGAGAAGGGGGTTACTAGCCCATTGCTCCCGGCATTTTAGTCGCTCATACGACAACGCATGGCTTACGGAGGAAGATTTTTTCCACTTCCCCATGGACAATAGAAGAAATAAGGAAGAACAAGAGCTATTTAGAAAAAGGAGAAAAACCTAGATGTATGTATATATATATACATGTGTGCGTCTGTGAAGTGTGACCAACGTGTAAGTAGGAGTAGCAAGATATCCCTGTTATCTAGCGTGTTTATGAGACAGAAAAAGAATCCAGCAATCCTACCATCATGCAAAACAGTTACAGGTTTCTGTTTCACAGTCATCTGGCAGGACGGTAGTACTTCCCTGGGTGGTTGCTGTCTACCAACCTACTACCTAGGACCAACAATACCAGCTTTAATATGAAAGTGATTTGCTAATGTCAGTATCTAGAATAGCTTTCAATAGTTATAATTAAAATCTGGATGAGTCATAGAATTTTTTTTAAATATATTGTCTTTTAACAATCTAACTTGTATTCACCCTAGAAGACTTGTTTTAAGAATGTTTTCTTCCAAGTTATGTGCTACATATATCATTGTACTTTATATGGCTGTGAGGCCTTGTTCCTAGAAGTGTATTACTTTTACAAGCTGTTATATAAGAAGTATGATGGAGTTAAAACATGAATAGTGTAAAAGGCATTGTATTTCGTAAATAGGAATGTTATTGAAAATTGAGAAAATTTGATCAAAGCATGAATTTTCAGTCTCTCATATACAGTAGACCTTCATATTACAGGGTAGTTATGTTCCTGAAAATGTTGTGTTAGATGAATTTATGTTGTATAAACTGAAGAACTTGTGGGAAAAATAGGGTTACGTTCCTGTGGGGACCCCACCATCCAGCCAAACAATTTTTTTTTAGAAATTCAGATCTTGCAAAAATAAAAATGATAATGTTGTTTTTGTTGCTAAAGACTACAAATACAACAGAAATATTATTATTTACCTTCAATTGTGATTGCTGGTGTATGTCAGTCATTGTGAAGAGAGTGGAGATGTAAGGTGTGGCCCTACTGGGCTGAGATGGATCGTTCTTGGTTGTTGGCAGAAGTGGATGGTTGAGGTTCTGGTACTAAAGTTGATGGTTGTATTGGAATGTGCATAAATTCTGTAATGGATCTCTGGCTTCTTTTACCCTACAGTACATTATGCATTTTCCCAGAAGCTTGGTACTGCCAGGTTGGAGTCAGAGTCGATTGATGCAGCTAGTTTTTTCATCAATTTTCTTGTGTAGTGACACTTGAATGACTTAATAAAACTCCCTGATCCAGTGGTTATATTAAAGATGTATTTGGAGGTAAAAATACAACTTTTACATGTGGGGTCACATCCAGCAAAGCTTCTAGATGAGTACAGGAATTATCAAGAATGAAGAGAGCCTTGAATGCAAGGTTCTTTCTATGCAGGTAAAACTTGACTTCAGGAATAAAGTGATGCTTAAACTAGTCAATAAATATTTCCTCTGTCATCCATGCTGACTGATTTGACCTCCAAATTACTTGTAAGGTGTTTTTATCTACACCTTTCAAAGAATGAGGATTCTTAGAGTGGAAAATAACCTTGGGCTTGCACTTGAAATCATCTGATGCATTACTGCAAAGGAGCAAGGTGAAGCGATCCTTTGCTGCCTTGAGGCCTGGTGCAGCTCCGTGGAGACCGTGGTCTCACCCAAAGCCAGGCAGCAGCCTGAGCTAGGGAAATATCCCATGGGAGACGCTGCAGATTTTTTCCCCTCCTGCAAACTGAACCGTGTTATGTTAATTTTCTGAGGTGTTGTATAAAATTATACCTCAGTTTTTTAATAGTGTAATAACCAAAACATGCCAAATAAATCCATGTCATACGAGGGTCTACTGTACTGTAGATCAATTCTATCGCTTGATCACATATCAGATGGGAACACGTGTACATTAAGGCAAAGAAAGCAGTTTCTTTTAGTAATTGGATATCTTACAGTTCATCTACATTGCCTTGTGAACATAAATATAACCTTGTCTTTTTCGAAATCCAAAAAATACTAGGTAAATACAATATATTTCAGATGTATAACTCAGGCTCGGAGTCTGTAGAGACAAGGAACTTTATCCATGAAATCAAAAAGGGAAATGTGTGAAAGTATAGTTATACCAATGCTCTTGTATGGGGGTGAGGTATAGGTTGTGATTATTGTAATAAGGAGAAGGCTGGAGGCAATGGAGATGTCATGTCTGAGGGCAATGTGTGGTGTGAATATAATGTAGAGAATCTGTAGTCTGAAGATTAGGAGGAGGTGTGGGATTACCAAAACTATTATCCAGAGGGCTGAGGAGGGGTTATTGAGATGGTTTGGACATGTGGAGAGGATGGACTGAAATAAATTAATTCGAGTGTATAAATCTGTGGTGAGGGAAAGCGGGGATAGGGGTCGCCCTAGAAAAGGTTGGAGGGAGGGGGTAAAGGAGGTTTTGTGTGTGAGGGGCTTGGACTTCTAGCAAGCGTGCATGAGCGTGTTAGATAGGAACAAATGGATACAAATGGCTTTTAGGACTTGATGTGCTGTTGGAGTATAAGCAAGGTAACATTTATGAAGGGATTCAGGGAAACTGGCAGTCCGGACTTGATTCCTGGAGATGGGAAGTACAGTGCCAGCACTCCAAGAGAGGGGTGTAAATGTTGCAGTTTTATAACTGTAGTGTAAGCACACCTCTGGCAAGACAGCGATGGAGTGAATGATGAATGTTTTTCTTTTTCGGGCCACCCTGCCTAGGTGGGAAATGGCTGATGTGTTAATAAATAAAAATAAACTCAGATTTTGCTAAACCAGTCAGAAATCTTGGAACGAATGATCTGAATGCATTTTTTTTTTTATAGATATGGTGTGGCCTAGTGGCCTTAGGTATATTTTTTCAGACACTGCTGTTGCCTGGTTCAAGTTTAAGATTGCTCAGCACTTTATATTAAGAGAAAATATTGAGAAAATTCAAATCAAATTGCTCTTAAGTAGTGAAAATTGCAGATTACTTTGTTTCATAATTGAAGAAGGCAGTCTGCTTGGAAGCCTAAGGAACAAAAGATTACAACATTCTACTTGAAAACTTTCGAAAGAATAGTTAACATACAATGAGATTAAAATGCAAGGGTAATTTATTTTTGTGATTAGTTTGCTCATATTGAAACATTTGTATTCCATAGTTTTATTACACAGGTATTAGTGAGTCATAAGTAAAATTATGGAGCTCTGTGTGTATTATATTTGGAAGACTATAGTTAATATTGCTATGACAAAAGTAGAAAGTCATTTGAATGGCTTTTTTTAGTGTATGGGAGATAATGTGGTTAATATTCACAGTTTATTTAATAAAATGTTATTTTTTAAAGCTACTTATTTTAAAATATTGAAAGTTTATTAAAATAAGTTTGAGCATCCTATAGTATAAAATAAATGAAGTGTACTTGAAACATATAAGTAAACATTGTTTAGATGAAGGTAAGGAGCTGTTTGTGTTTATAGCCTTTATGGGTTGAGAAAATGCATATAAAAAGGTGGATAAGCAGTGCGGTAGATGTTTCTAACGTATGGAATAAGATGTAGCTTACTAAGAGGAGTTTGGAGTTTTTATGCAAACAGTGTGGCTCAGGTTAGGAGAGGGGACTATTTTCCAGTGAAAGTAGGACTTAGGGATGTCACTATGGTTATTCACTATTTTTATAGATGGGGTTGTAAGTAAGATGAATGTTAAGGTGTTTGGGAGAGGTGTGGGATTAAAAGATAAAGAATCTGAAACAAAGTGTGAGTTATCACAGTGGTTCCTTACCAGTGGCAGTTCCTTGAGGTTGGTGGACAAATTTGGTAGGGTATGTAAAAAGAAGGAAATTAAAAGTAAACATGTGCAAGGTGATATGTGACAGAAAAGTGTAAGCAAAGAATGATTGGATATTGGAATGGAAAGAGGGAGTTTGGAGGAATTTGATGTACAGTGGAATCTCAGTACGCGACCTTAATTCATTCCAGAAGGCTGTTCGAATGCCACTCCGTTTAAGTATTGAACAAGTTCTTCCCAACCAATTTTCTGTTTGGTTGGCTGTTATCACTAATCTTTGTATGTCCCATGGTGACTTATTTATACAAATAAGAGAACTTTTGTAATTCAGAGGTTCCATGTCTATTCAGAATTTTAATATAATTTTAGTTGCTTATTAAACCATGGACATTCAGGTTATATACAAGCTAGATATTAAACAGATTTAAAATATTTAAAAACACAGGGAAGAGAAGGTGTTGCTGGTCCTCCTGGACCCAATGGATACAAGGGTGATCGAGGCCCTGATGGACTGGATGGTTTGCCTGGTTTGCCGGGAAATAAAGGAGATGCTGGTCACCCTGGTCGAGATGGTGCAAAGGGTGATCATGGACCGCCAGGACCCTCTGTGGTGAGCATTTTTCATTGAGTTTATATTTTTGGGAAAGATAATGTAAGTTGCAAATTCTTGTGAATAAATCTTTCTGAGAAATAGTTTTAAGATAATTACTGAAAACATATGGAAGAAAAACACAAAAAACTATTTGTAATTTATTTATTTTATAAGAACATTTCTTGTTTAATTTAAACCAGTATTTATGCATGTACAAATATACATTGAGAAAAATTCTGAATAGTATTCTAATTTGTAATTTTGATGACATACATGAATAGTGTTTAAAGTTTATATTTTTTTTGCCAAGGTTCATGTGCCAATGTTGTCTGTATCTCAAGCAATGCACACCAAGCAGACACAAAACTTCTTTCAAATTATGTCTATTTTCATGTTATTTAATAAAAAGAAGCACATTTAACTACATGCCATATCTTCAAGTTAGATTGTATTATAAGTAAAATGGGGATGGTAGTATCTTTGCTCTCCCAACTAACTACAGCATTCTTTTTTGTCTTTCTTCATATAATCTTCCTACCATTCTAGGGTGGAGAACCTGGACCTCCAGGTCCACCAGGTCTACAAGGTTTCCCAGGACCCAAGGGAAGGGATGGCATTGATGGTGTACCAGGTGGAAGAGGACCTCCAGGAGTACCAGGGGGTCCAGGACAGCCTGGTAATCCTGGTAGAGAGGGAGCTCCAGGAAGGAAGGGCGAGAAGGGTGATTCTGGTCGACCAGGTATGTACATGCTCTATTATTCTTGTATATTCATGAGCAAGTGCTAAGCCCTGTAGAAGCCATTCAACACATGGTGAATGGACAGTAATTAGGTTTCATCTGAGAAATTGGAGAGTATTTTCAATCTCTTGGATTAAGACCAGATGAGGACACCTTCCTCTTCCTTGAAGGGCTATATAGATTTGAATTTTATATACATCATCCTGTTCTTGAGAGCTTTGGTACACTGAACTGCTAATTTCACCTGTGATTCTTAGAACTGCTATTTAAATGATAACCTCATTGGTTTCAAATGAATATACAAAAAAAGTACCCTCTTCATGTCAGGTTATATTTATTGAAGATACCAGTGATGGGTAGGCTCCAGGTTGTACATGTTTATAGAGGGGCAACTGATATATCAGATCATTATTTAGTTGTAGCTACAGTTAGAGTAAGAGGTAGATGGGACAATGAAAATGACAACAACAAGTAAGAGGGAGGTGAAAGTGCATAAACTAAGGGAGGAGGAAGTTCGGGTGAGATATAAGCAACTATTGGCAGAAAGGTGGGCTAGTGCAAGTATGAGTAGTGGGGGGGGAGGGGTTGAAGAGGGTTGGAATAGTTTTAAAAATGCAGTATTAGAATGTGGGGCAGAAGTTTGTGGTTATAGGAGGAAGGAGGAGTGATTGGTGGAATGATGAAGTAAAGGGTGTGATAAAAGAGAAAAAGGTAGCTTATGAGAGGTTTTTACAAAGCAGAAGTGTTATACGAAGAGTAGAGTATATGGAGAGTAAAAGAAACGTGAAGAGAGTGGTGAGAGAGTGCAAAAGGAGAGCAGATGATAGAGTGGGAGAGGCACTGTCAAGAAATTTTAATGAAAATAAGAAAAAAATTTTGGAGCGAGTTAAACAAGTTAAGAAAGCCTAGGGAACGAATGGATATGTCAGTTAAAAACAGAGTAGGGGAGTTAGTATAGGAAAAAACGGAGGTATTGGGTAGAGGGCAAGAATATTTTGAAGAACTTATAAATGTCGACAAAGAAAGGGAGGCAGTAATTTCATGCACTGGCCAGGGAGGTATACCATCTTTTAGGAGTGAAGAAGAGCAGGATGTAAGTGTAGGGGAGGTGCGTGAGGCATTACATAGAATAAAAGGGGGTAAAGCAGCTGGAACTGACGGGATCATGACAGAAATGTTAAAAGTAGGGGGGGGGGGGTATAGTGTTGGAGTGGTTGGTATTTTTGTTCAATAAATGTATGAAAGAGGGGAAGGTACCTAGGGATTGGCAGAGAGCATGTATAGTCCCTTTATATAAAGGGAAGAGGGACAAAAGAGATTGTAAAAATTATAGAATAATAAGTTTATTGAAAAGTGTACGGTAGGGTTATTATTGAAAGAATTAGAGGTAAGACAGAATGTAGGATTGCGGATGAGCAAGGAGGTTTTAGAGTGGGTAGGGGATGTGTAGATCAAGTGTTTACCTTGAAGCATATATGTGAACAGTATTTAGATAAAGGTAGGGAAGTTTTTATTGCATTTATAGATTTAGAAAAGGCATATGACAGAGTGGATAGGGGAACAATGTGGCAGATGTTGCAAGTATATGGAATAGGTGATAAGTTACTAAATGCTGTAAAGAGTTTTTATGAGGATAGTGAGGCTCAGGTTAGGGTGTGTAGAAGAGAGGGAGACTACTTCCCGGTAAAAGTAGGTCTTAGACAGTGATGTGTAATGTCACCATGGTTGTTTAATATATTTATAGATGGGGTTGCAAAAGAAGTAAATGCTAGGGTGTTCGGGAGAGGGGTGGGATTAAATTATGGGGAATCAAATACAAAATGGGAATTGACACAGTTACTTTTTGCTGATGATACTGTGCTTATGGGAGATTCTAAAGAAAAATTGCAAAAGTTAATAGACGAGTTTGGGAGTGTGTGTAAAGGTAGAAAGTTGAAAGTGAATATAGAAAAAAGTAAGGTGATGAGGGTATCAAATGATTTAGATAAAGAAAAATTGGATATCAAATTGGGGAGGAGGAGTATGGAAGAAGTGAATGTTTTGAGATATTTGGGAATTGACATGTCGGTGGATGGATTTATGAAGGATGAGGTTAATCATAGAATTGATGAAGGAAAAAAGGTGAGTGGTACATTGAGGTATATGTGGAGACAAAAAATGTTATCTATGGAGGCAAAGAAGGGAATGTGTGAAAGTATAGTAGTACCAACACTCTTATATGGGTGTGAAGCTTGGGTTGTAAATGCAGCAGCAAGGAGGCGGTTGGAGGTAGTGGAGATGTCCTATCTAATGGCAATGTGTGGTGTGAATATTATGCAGAAAATTTGGAGTGTGGAAATTAGGAGAAGGTGTGGAGTTAATAAAAGTATTAGTCAGAGGACTGAAGAGGAGTTGTTGAGGTGGTTTGGTCATTTAGAGAGACTGGGTCAAAGTAGAATGACATGGAGAGCGTATAAATCTGTAGGGGAAGGAAGGCGGGGTAGTTGTCCTCGAAAAGGTTGGAGGGAGGGGGTAAAGGAGGTTTTGTGGGTGAAGGGCTTGGACTTCCAGCAAGCGTGTGTGAGCGTGTTAGATAGGAGTGAATGGAGACGAATGGTATTTGGGACATGATGAGCTGTTGTAGTGTGAGCAGGGTAATATTTAGTGAAGGGATTCAGGGAAACTGATTATTTTTATATAGCCGGACTTGAGTCCTGGAAATGGGAAGTACAATGCCTGCACTTTAAAGGAGGGGTTTGGGATATTGGCAGTTTGGAAGGATATGTTGTGTCTTTATACGTATATGCTTCTAAACTGTTGTGTTCTGAGCACCTCTGCAAAAATAGTGATTATGTGTGAGTGAGGTGAAAGTGTTGAATGATGATAAAAGTATTTTCTTTTTGGGGATTTTCTTTCTTTTTTGGGTCACCCTGCCTCGGTGGGAGATGGCCGACTTGTTAAAAAAAAAAAAAATTGCTCATGACCCTCTTTTAATGTTTTAATGTAAGCAAGCTGCAGCAGGCAGTTTGCAAGTTGTTGCATAACATGAGGTCAAGACTTTCACATTTATGTAAAATGAGAATCTTTGGTAACATGCATATCTTACCTTAGCTTTAAAATAAAAATTAATAGCCTCAATTAATGCTTTGTTGCTAGTAGAACATTGTTACTATAACCTGTGGCCCAAACTAGAAAATGGCATTTCAGTATTTGATTCACTAGAAATGCAACCATACATCCGACATGTTCATCTTTTTCCTTCGCTTGTGTCAAGGTGACTGAACATCTTCACAGATCAGGGTTGGATGAGGAAGAACTATGTTTGGGAGGTCTTTTGATCCTTGGTTAACTGATAGGGCAAGCTGGATAAGTTCTTTTCTTACCTGTATATTTGTTGATCTTCATGGGGAAATGCAACAGAATTCTTCCTTCGTAAGCCATGCATGTTGTAAGAGGCAACTAAAATGCTGAGAGTAAGGGGCTAGTAACCCCTTCTGTATACACTACTAAAGTTTAAAAGAGAAACCTTCGTTTTTCTTTTTGGGCCACCCTGCTTCGGTGGCATATGGCTGGTTTGTTGAAAGAAGAAGAAGGTATCTGTTCATGAAAGGCTTGGCTAGGTGACAGAGGTAGTATCCCTCATGTGAAGGGAGTTAGAGTTCCAATGACTCCTTTTTGTTCACATCAGTCAATATGCTACTGTATGTTTTAAAGGACGTAGTCCTTTTCCCATGAAATCTTAATTACTCTGGCATATTGCAACTGGTTTTCTATCCTTTTAAGACATGACACAAGACAGGTTTCTTCAGTGGTATCTGCTTCTGCCCAGACATTTATCTAATATCCATTACAGGTCTGGGGCATAATTCTCAACACTTTAAATATAACCTACATGAGGAGTTATCTGATCTATGCCAAGCATTAGGCATGTGTATATAGACCTTTTGTAAATATGCATTTTTTGTTTTGTTTTTGCCTCATGATGTTCTCCCTCAGAGGAGGTACAGTTTGCTTTTAGATGTCATTTTGCTTATGCACAAATTCTACAAGAATATGAGGTGGGGACTGCCCTACAGGCCTCAGGTATGCTGATAAATTAGACACATGTGCAACTCTTGGGTATCTTTATTGAGGAAACGTTTCGCCACACAGTGGCTTCATCAGTCCATACAAAGGAGAATCTTGAAGAACATTCTCATTCTCCTCCTGTTCTTCAAGATTCTCCTTTGTATGGACTGATGAAGCCACTGTGTGGCGAAACGTTTCCTCAATAAAGATACCCAAGAGTTGCACATGTGTCTAATTTATCAACATGTTGGTTCTCTGAACCATTCATCTACAAGCCTCAGGTATGCATTCAAGAATACCAACTCTTAGAGATTTCCCAACCATTAGGAGGCCAGTTCTTTTCTGGACATCAAAAACAAAAACATGGCGAGTGTGTTGTTCAGTCTTATGTGTGCACCATAGTTTTGCCTGCACATCAGAGGAATCTTTCCTGTAGTCTTACTCGGTCAAATTCACAATCAAGGATGTTTAAATCACTGGTTCTCCAGTGGTGAAACTAGCCCATTAAAGTGGGGAACAAAATATAAAATGGAATAGAAATAGGCATATAGGGCCAAAAACAAAGAAATAGTTTATCTTTATGAAGGTGAGTAGATATGTTTTTGCAGGTACCTAGTGGATCATGAAGCCTCTATGCTAAAAGGTTTTTCATGTTTCCAAACTGTGTATTATATATACCCCAGGAATAATATGGGGCCCAACACAGATCCTCAGGGCATTCCAGTGGTTGCCATTGAGACTTTTAAAGGCTGTGAGTGTCCTTGCTATACATTGACAGAAATTATAAGTTTAAACATTGAATTGTTATAGCCAGGGCTTTGAGTGCACACCATATAATGTTTGATGAATCACAGTGCCTTAACAGTCTTACCTCCAGCATCTTTGAGAACTTCATGCTGTGTATTTATTTTCCTCAATAGGTCAACCAGGACCCCAAGGACCATCTGGACCTGTTGGTGAACGGGGTGTGTCAGGTGTTCCTGGTGCAAAGGGAAACAAATGTTTTTCTGTTCCTGTAAGTTCATTATTGAAATATTCAAGCATCAGATATTTAGGAATTTATTTCTTCTCAAAGAAACCTGATTAATGCAATATGAAGTTGCTCATTAACTACTCTGTTCATTTGTCATTTATTTTCTGATTTGTAATGTTTATTAAAAAATTATCACCCGAGTTATATTATTTCAAGTTTCTGAACATTGAGTGCAATGATATTTAATATCATATTCATGAGAAATACTTAACTTGTAGGGCTTATACAGTGCCTGTAGTGTAGCTCATATTGATGAATATGTGTATATGCCAAGATATGTAATAATAATGATGATGGTGTAAATAGCTGCTTTGGGATCAGTAGGCCTTCAACAGTATCCTTTTTAATTTTATTCTCTCTCCTAATGTTTTCTCCTTAAAGCTCATGTGTCTGGATCAGATCTGCAGTAGTATTTATGAAAGTGATTTAGTTTTACCAGTAGACTTCTCCACAGTATAGTTACTAAGGTGTTATGTCACCCTTGTGTGTCCATAAGATATCCCTCACAGTATAGTTACTAAGGTGTTATGTCACCCTTGTGTGTCCATAAGATATCCCTCACAGTATAGTTACTAAGGTGTTATGTCACCCTTGTGTGTCCATAAGATATCCCTCACAGTATAGTTACTAAGGTGTTATGTCACCCTTGTGTGTCCATAAGATATCCTCACAGTATAGTTACTAAGGTGTTATGTCATCCTTGTGTGTCCATAAGATATCCCTCACAGTATAGTCACTAAAGTCATACATTACCCATGTATGCCTATAAAATAACCCCTCACAATATGGCCTTCAACATCTTATGTTACCCTGGAGTATACCTGGAGGTATACCCCAGTCATGTTTAACCATGACTTATCCCTCTCATTAGTCATTAAAGTCTTACATTACCTATATTCTCATATATGTCTATGAGGTAGGATACTGTAGGAGACAGCCATTGGGATATTGGCTGTTTGGAGTGACATCTAAACTGTCATGTGTGGGCACCTCTGCAAAGAGTGATTTTGTGTGAGTGATGGTGAAAGTGTTTCTCTTTTTTGGGTCACCCTGCCTCAATAGGAGACGGCCGTCTTGTTGAATTTTTTAACACGATGGCCGTTTCCCACCGAGGCAGGGTGACCCAAAAAGAAAGAAAAAACTTTCATCATTCAACACTTTCACCATCACTCATACATAATCACTGTCTTTGCAGAGGCACTCAGATACGACAGCTTAGACATCCTTCCAAATTGCCAATATCCCAAACCCCTCCTTTAAAGGGCAGGCATTGTACTTCCCATTTCCAGGACTCAAGTCTGGTTAACCCTGCTCACACTCCAACAGCTCGTTACGTCCCAAAAACCATTTATCTCCATTCACTCCTATATAACATGCTTATACACACTTGCTGGAAGTCCAATCCCCTTGCCAACAAAACCTCCTTTACCCTCTCCCTCCAACCTGTTCAGGGATGACCCCTACCCCGCCTTCCTTTCCCTACAAATTTATATGCTCTCCAAGTCATTCTACTTAGTTCCATTCTCTCTCTAAATGACCAAACCACCTCAACAGCCCCTCTTTAGCCCTCTGACTAACACTTTTAGTAACTCCACACCTCCTCCTAATTTTCACACTTCAAATTCTCTGCATAATATTTATACCACACATTGTCCTTTGACGCAACACCTCCACTGCCTCCAGCCTCCTCCTCGCTGTAGCATTTACAACTCATGCTTCAAACCCATACAGGAGTGTTGGTACCACTATACTCTTGTACATTACCTTTTTTGCCTCCATGGATAATGTTCTTTGTCTTCACAGATACCTCAATGCACCACTCACCATTATTCCTTCATCAATTAACCTCATCTTTCATAAACCCATCCGCTGATAAGTCAACTCTCAAATATCTAAAAATATTCACTTTTTCCATATTCCCTCCCTCCAATATATCTAATTTTTCTTTATCTAAATCATTTGATACTCTCATCACTTTCAATTTTTTACCTTTACACACCCTCCCAAACTCATCAACTAACCTTTGTAACTTTTCTTTAGAATCCCCAAAAAAAGCACAGTATTATCAGCAAAAAGTAACTGTCAGCTAACATTTTGTATTTGATTCCCCATAATTTAATCCCACCCCTCTCCCCAACACTCTAGCATTTACTTCTTTTACAACCCTATCTATAAATATGTTAAACAATCATGGTGACATTACACATCCCTGTCACTGGGGAGTAATCTCCCTCTCTCCTACACACCCTAACCTGAGCCTCACTATCCTCATAAAAACTCTTTAAAGCATTTAGTAACTTGCTACCTATTCCATACTCTTGCAACATCTGCCACATTGCTCCCCTATCCACTCTATCATATGCCTTTTCTAAATCCATAAATGCAATGAAAACTTCCTTACCTTTATCTAAATGCTGTTCACGTATATGCTTCAATGTAAACACCTGATCTACACATTCCCTACCCATTCTAAAGCCTCCTTGCTCATCTGCAATCCTGCTTTCTGTCTTCTAAGTCTTTCAATAATAACCCAGTTGCAGCGCTGTATAGCCCTTGTGGTTTAGCGCTTCTTTTTTATTATAATAATAATAATAATAATCAATAATAACCCTACCATAAACTTATTGCCCTATAATTTCTACAGTCTCTTTTGTCCCCCTTCCCTTTATATAAAGGAATTATACATGTTCTCTGCCAATCCCTAGGTACCTTCCCCTCTTTTATACATTTATTAAACAAAAATACCAATCAATCCAACACTATATCTCCCCCTGCTTTTAAAATTTTTTGTCATGATTCCGTCAGTTCCAACTACTTTACCGGATGTGAGTGTGGGGCAGGTGTGCCTCACACACCTGCCTCACACTCACATCCAACTCTTCTTCATTCCTAAAAGAAGTTATACTTCCCTGACCAGCGCATGAAATTACTGCCTCCCTTTCTTCATCGACATTTAAAAGTTCCTCAAAATATTCCCACCATCTATCCAGTACCTTCAGCTCTCCATCTACTAACTCCCTACTCTGTTTTTAACTGATAAATCCATTTGTTCCCTAGGCTTTCTTAACTTGTTTATCTCACTCCAAAATTTTTTCTTATTCTCAGCAAAATTTCTTGACAGTGTCTCTCCTACTCTATCATTTGCTCTCCTTTTGTACTCTGTTTTTTTAACTCTCCATATACTCTGCTCTTCTTGTATCACTTCTGCTTGTAAAAACATCCATAAGCTACCTTTTTCTCTTTTACCCTTTACCTCATCATTCCACCAATCACTCCTCTTTCCTCCTGCACCCACCCTCCTATAGCCACAAACTTCTGCCTCACAGTCTAATACTGCCTTTTTAAAACTATCCCATCCCTGAACATTAAAATGGTATAAAATACCGACAGGTTGTTAGGTAAGACACATATGCAACAGTTAGGTATCTTTATTTCGAAACGTTTCGCCTACACAGTAGGCTTCTTCAGTCGAGTACAGAAAAGTTGATAGAAGCAGAAGATACTTGAAGACGATGTAATCAGTCCATCACCCATTAACCTCAAAACTTTAAGGGTGATGGACTGATTACATCGTCTTCAAGTATCTTCTGCTTCTATCAACTTTTCTGTACTCGACTGAAGAAGCCTACTGTGTAGGCGAAACGTTTCGTAATAAAGATACCTAACTGTTGCATATGTGTCTTACCTATCCCATCCCTCTTCAACCTCCCCCTCCCCCCCCCTCCCACTACCCATACTTGCAGTAGCCCACCTTTCTGCCAAAAGCTGCTTATATCTCACCATAACTTCCTCTTCCTTTAGTTTATAAACTTTTATCTGCCTCTTACTCTAACTGTAGCTACAACTATATAATGATCCAATATATCTGTTGCCCCTCTATAAACATGTATATCCTGAAGCCTACCCATCAACCTTTTAGTCACCAATACATAATCTAACAAACTACTTTCATTATGTGCTGTATCATATCTTGTATACTTATTTATTCTCTTTTTCGTAAAATATGTATTACGTACTTAATTACCAAACCTCTTTCTACACATAGTTCAATTAAAGGATCTCCATTTTCATTTACTCCTGGCACCCCAGATTTACCTACTACTCATTCTAAAACATTTTTACCCACTTTATCATTGAGATCCCCAACCACAAGTACTCTCTCACTTGGTTCAAAACTTCCCATGCACTCGTTCAACATTTCCCAAAATCTCTCTCTCTCTCTCCTCTCCTCTACACTTCTCTCTTCTCCAGGTGCATAAACACTATAACCCACTTTTCATATCCAACCCTTATTTTACTCCATATAATCTTTGAATTTATACATTTATATTCCTTCTTTTCCTGCCATAACTTATCCTTCAACATTATTGCTACTCTTTCCTTAGCTCTAACTCTGTTAGAAACCCCTGACCTTATCCCAATTATTTCTCCCCACTGAAACTCTCCTACCCCCTTAAACTTTGTTTTACTTAGAGCCATTACATCCAGCTTCTTTTCATTCATACATCCTCAATCATCTCTTATCATTCACGTTACAACCACGCACATTCAAATATTGCACTTTGACAGTTTTCTTCTTTTTCTTTTTAGTAGGCTATATGGGAAAGGGGGTCACTAGCTCATTGCTCCCTGCATTTTAGTTGACTTTTACAACACGCAAGGCTTATGGAGGGAAGATTCTTATTTCACTTCCCCATGGATGTGAAAGGAAAAGTAATAAGAACAAGAACTATTAAGAAAAAATCAAAGAAAACTCAGATGAGTGTGTATACATAAATGTGTACATGCATGTGTAGTGTGACCTAGGTGTAAGTAGAAGTAGCAAGACGTACCTGAAATATTGTGACCTAGGTGTAAATAGAAGTAGCAAGATATACCTGAAATCTTGCATGTTTATGAGACAGAAAAAGACACCAGCAATTCTACCATCATGTAAAACAAATACAGTGGACCCCCGCTTAACGATCACCTCCCAATGCGAC